TGTGACCTTCGCTAGATTGCTCCGGTCACTAGTGTGGATAAGTATGTAAATGGATAGAGACAGGGAAGCAAACACAAGATGTACATGGTTCACCCAGATTGGCTATGTCCACGGAGTATAGGAGTTCTCATTAATTGTGAAGGGTTTACACAAGTACATAGGTTCAAGCTCTCCTTTAATGAGTACTAGTGAATGATTTAGTACAAATGACATTAGGGATTATTGTGGGAGAATGATCTCCTTTTATAGAAGAGAGTTTCTAGCTTTGTTCTGGCATCATGTTGTGATTGGCCTTTGATGTTGACACGTGTCATCCTGTTATTGGCCTCTTGGTGTTGACACGTGTTGTTCTGTGATTGGCCTTTTGGTTGGAAGGAAACTCTTCTGGGTCCTTGACGGTATAACGTTGACTAGTGCTTGGTAGTTTCGGGATTGGTCAAGTATGGTACAAACAAAGTTATTGTAAAAATATAGTTGACACCCCAAAACATGTTTCAGTAGGAGCAATCCTCATATGATTTTCTTTCTTTCTTTTTTGGTTAATCAGTAATTGTCATGCATGACATTTAACTTCAGCATATCCTTCAACAAACTAAGGATTAATGTGTTGCTAGATCAGAAACTCACGTGACTTCAAATGCTTTATTTAAAAAGAAAGAAGTGTTGTAGGCCTATTTGACTAAACTGTATAGAGGACAAAGAGGGAGAGGGGGTGGGCGGCAACAAAGAGAAAAGAGAGATATGTAATTCTGAGGTGTGTGTTGTATCACCTCCTTATGCCTTTATTTATAGTAGTAGGATAGGTAGAATCCTTACCCTAATAGTATTACATCTCTAATAAGAATTAAACTACTAAAGGGAATATACAAGATACTCCTAGAAACACTAGGATTTACACAATCACATTCCTAATTCAATAGGACTGCAACAAGAAGTAGATTTTAATGAATTCCTACCCTTTTTTTCTTTGTTTGTCTTTTGAATATCCTTTAATAACATATATGAGTTAGATTAGTTGACCAAAGTACTATGCTTTCTTTTCTAGTATCTAGGTGAGAATTCATTTTCTTGTAGATTAGAATAGTTTAAAATATATTATTGTCTTATCAAAAAAGCATTGCTTCAACGAAGAATGTTGTGAGATCCCAAGAATTTATTATCTAAGAAGAGAAATATTTGGAAAAAAAAAATATGTTTAGATTATTTATTGAGAAGGTATTTATGAAAAGATTGTCGACGTCATTACGAGTTTGTAACATCTTTCGGATTACCTTTCGGAACTTGAATGAATTTTTAAGATAATTTCATGTTGAACCAATGTGTCGATGACACATGGTAGCCACAAGTGATGGAATTAGCCACGTGGAGATCAATTTGACAGCCACCTTGAGAACACTTGTGATGCACTTGCCTTGCCACACGTTTTAAGTGCCACTTGCTGGACTCTCCACAAAGAAAGAAATAAAGTGGGGAATTAGAGCACGTAAGGTGCTAACCTATAAATTGGTTTTCTCTTCTTCGTAGGTCCGAAGTTCTATAGCAGAAAATGCTTTCTTTTTTCTTTAAAGCCCTAAGATTGGAACATAATATTCTCACGTAGATAAAGTTGGAGAATTTAGCCAATTGGCATGTGGGAATGACCGATGGTCTTTCATTTGGACAAGGGATTTATAACTGAGATCAGACCGTGCCAATTACATGGGATTTCAAGGTTAGTGTGCTACTTGTGAAGATTATTAAGGACTTGCAGAGGTTTGAATTAATATTTAAGTGTTAAACTACATACAGGGTTTGATAAGTTTAATTGATTAGTAACTTGGTTGATGTGATATTTTATTTGAGGATCAGTTGGATATATTGGTTTGGATTAACTAGTGAATCACGTGAGGTGGTAATGGTGCTCAAGAGTTTGGTGAACAACGTTTGGACAATGGTGAGAAAGTAAAAGCTAAGCTCGGAATCCAGGGAGGCGAAATATGACAGATCTTTATGGAAACTGATTTTATTAAATTTTGTGAGGTGTTATAATATTTTTTATTTTTTTGATTGATTAATGTGGCTGGATATTAATTGGCTAATTTCTTCAGTTGAGTGTTTACTTGTTATTGGTTATGGAATTATTGTTGAAATGTTATTCATTGAGAATATACCGTGATACATGTGAAAGATGAAATGATATAATTTGTGCATCATTCATGTTGATGTTGTTGAAACTTTAGTGTTTAGATTGGTTTGGGAATGAGGGTAATTGGAAATGATCTTTTGTGTATTTGAATCTATTCATTGTGAACCAGGTCCCATGCGAGCCCGATGTGCACATTAGGATAGGATATCGGCGGAATAAATTGTCGATATAGGTGATTTGGGCTAGAGATCAATGAATTAGATAAGATGACTAACAAAAGGGTTTATGAACTTGGATATCTTATGGGGGTTAGTTTGTATAATAGAATATTCGAACCACCACTGTAGTGGTAAAATGTACGGTATGGAATGTGCAGGTCCGCGTGTTTTATTATATAAATTAACAGGAATAGTTGAAGAGGTTGCATTGCATTCATGCATTGTTATCAATAATGATTTGATATTTGATTATAGATGATGTCATGGAACTTAATTTAATATCGTCAATTTACTATAGTAAGGTTATGTCCCTACTGAGTTATTGAAGCTCACCATTTTATTGTTATGCAAGTTTACAAACTAGACATTCAAGAGAGTAGGCATGATGAGATGGGATTAGATGTAAGAATAGAATGTTTATTTATCTATTTATTGTAGAATTGTAAAGAGTTCTTGATTTGTTTAAGAATCATGAGTTATTTAATAGGAGGAAATTTATTTTCCAAACCATTTCAATTTCCTTTTATTTTTTTAGTTTTTAACTTACGTTTTAGATTCGGGTTCGAGTTTTATTACCAATCCCAAGTCTGGGGCATGACAAATGTCTAGTTAGTCTAACATTAAAAAGGGAGTGTCTTGGGGGCTTTACTCGGTGCATGACAACGTCTCATAACGACATCGTTGTTGCGAATTAGATTCATACATTTTTTATTATAAATACTAAAATAAATGATAGAATAACGAAACTCAAAAGAAAGAAAAATTGCTATTTAATATTGGTTAATGGTGCAGTCATATTTATTTAGGAATGTCATCGTGTAAATCTTATCATATCTTATATATATGATATTTTATCTTATAATATCATCCCTTCATGGTCCATTATATATATTTTATTTTAATACCTTACATTCCAAGTTAAATAACCCAAGAATATTGTTTTTTTCGTAACCCAAGAATACTTAACAAATTTTATATTACCTTCATTGTTAACAGTTAAAAATATCATCAGTAAACTATTATCTCAATTATTGGAATGGTATAAAGACTTAAAAAATTAAAATGTGGAAATGTATGATTAATGTACCTATAACGGTGTTTAATTGTTAAAAAAAATTATGACAAATTTTTTTTTTTTAATTTTTAAGTTGTTAAAAAAACATGTAGACGGGTGAAAAATGAGTAAATGGTAAAAAAGAAAGGATAAACGGGTTAAAAATGATAAATGGGTAAACGGATACTAAACGGTTACGGTTAAATTGGTACACGGTTATGGGTATGGTTAACCATTTATAAGCGGTTATGGGTATGAGTATAACAGTTTAGGCAATTACCCAACGGGTAAACGAAAATAAACGGTTATAGATAAATAATCACGGTTACCCGCCCATCATAACCATTGCCCATTGAATGAGTGGGGTGGGTCTGCTTGGAATTAATTTTAATTTTAGTTTTATGTTTAATTTTTTTTAATAATTTTATGTTTTTTTAATAAATTTCCAGATTTTATAGTATTTAATTTGCTTGTTAGACACGTGTACGAGTCTGCAATTGACCTTTCATATGATACTTATTTTTTATTTTTCAGTAAAGAAATTAAATTTGTATTCTTTAATTGAAAGATATTTTTTTCAAATAAAAATAATCAACTTTTGTAACTAATTTTATGTTTCTAATTTAAATTAAGTTTTGAATTCAAAATGTTGTTAATTACTATTTTATCTCTTGGTGTTTCAAATGATTCAACATATTTTTAGGTAGTTATATGATGAATGCGTCAATTTTGAGCGATCTATTTTGGATCTAATAAAGTATTTTCTTTGTGTGGTAGTAAAAAATCAAGTTACAGGTGTTTAACATGTACCTAATGATTTTCTGCTAGGTAGGATTTTTTTGGCCTAAGCACTTATTTGTTGAGGAGAAACTAATCCAATTCAAAATTGTTGATGTTTATACCAATCATAAAAAGGTCGTACCCAGTGCACAAGGCTCACTCTTTACGCAAGGTCTGGGAGAGGTGAATGTTGGCTAGCCTTACCCCCATTTATGGAGAGGCTGCTCCCAAGTCTCGAACCCGAGACCTACCGCTCATGGGCGAAGGCACTTGCCATCGCACCAAGTGCGACCTCTTATGTTTATACCAATCATAAAAAATAAAAAAATAAAAAAAATTGATTCATTTCATTTCGATTAAGCTTCCTTCCTATTAAAGTGAAAGGTCTTCTCAGTTATAAGAAATAGTTCAGTTCCAAAGCCAAATATCGTAGTTTTACATTCAATTTAAATTATAAAAAAAACTAACTCTAAAAATAGAATACTTTCATTAAAGACAAATCCTTCGTAGTGGCTGGTGATGAAGATAAAAAAAATTGTGAATAATTGTAAAATAAAGATATATCTATTCATGTTTGCGGAGATGGGGTTTCTGCCCTTTCTAATATTTATAAAGGATTAAATATTTCAATTGAAACGAATTCAACGATTGATCCATTTTTTTAGACTTGTTCTCACTTTATATATAGAGGTAGAGAAAAAAATAAAATTAAAATCAATGTCTTTTTTGGTCTATAATTATAGTAGTTTTATAAAACAAATATATTTTACTAAATATTTAACAAATTTATTCCAAAACTGATCATGCTCACAAAACAACAATAGCAATGTTTGAAAAAAAAAGGGCAATACCAGACTGCCCAAAACGCAAGCCAAATCAAATCTCAAAACGCGAATCGCGCAGATTAACTCAGCGAGCGAGCGAGTACATAAACAGTTACGCGCGTGTTTGCAAAGTCAGACAACTCAGTCGGTACCTTTTCACTGCTGGCGCCCTTCCCACTCGCCCGACTCGGTCGAACCCAGTAACTCGCCACTCTCTGCAACTCCACCACCACTGTCAGAAACTTTACAACTCTCAGAGCTTCGAATTAGCAGAGATCTCCCACAAATTTTGAAAATTTTGGAACTTAAATTTGAATTTGAATTTCGGAACGATTTCAGAGGCTTCGAATTCACATGGAAGCAGTTACTTCGGCTCTTCCGTGGATCCCGGAAGACGACCTCCGCTTGAAGGACGCCATGGAGGTAATCCTCTGCAATTTTCTCCAAATTTACTCAATTTCCTTTTCAGCCCTTGAACTTTTCAGTTATTGCCGTTACTGCCATTTAAAGCTATCATCCTCCTGTGCATTGCGTCTGGTTTTATAATTTTTATAATTTACTTATTTTTATGGAGTGATTGTTAGAATTGATAGTTGAAAATCTGTTGGGTGCTTTTAACGATTACAGACAGGTGCTTCTCTGGAAGCACTTGCCAGAGGCGCGGTGCGATTTTCGCGCAAATTCACGATCGGGGAGTTGCAGGATCGGTGGTACTCGCTCCTCTATGACGCCGATGTCTCGGCGGAGGCGTCGGCTCGGTTGGTGGAATTGGAAGGTTGCAATTCCAACTCAGCGTCCAAGGCTAGTAGATTCACTCGTTCTAGGGGTTTGAATCGAAAATCCAATAGCATACGAAAGCATTACTATGCTATGCGGAAGATAAATAGGAAACTGTGGGCTGTTAATTCCGTTGATCCCGATTCTTATCAGAAGGAGTTTTTCGATCGTAATTTTCTTTTCGGGCCGGATGTTGATAATGGCAAGGCTTTAGAGGAAAATTTTGGGGTTGGAGATCATAATCAGCCCGTGTTTTTGGACTGTGATGTGGATAACGGCAATGCCACTAATGCATTTCGTGGTGGAGAGTGTGTTTCTATTGGAAATCATGGGGTGGAGGGAGGTGGAGAGTGTGTTTCAATTGGAAATCATGGGGTAGAGGGAGTTGTGGGGGAAGGGTGCTCGAATGGATTTGTTGAACAGGTTTCATTATTGCCAAGTAACGGGTTAGGAGAGAATGCTTTTTGCCATGATAATACTTGTCATGATCTGCCTACTCACCGAGATGATGGAATTGATTTTGGGAATGCCTTAGATGCGGAAGATATAGGGCCATCTCATGCATCGATAGATGAGCCTCTTTGGAAAACGATTGAGGATGTACCGGCACCTGAAATGCCAATGGATGTCAGCATGGGGGTTAATGGTGAGGGTGCCCAAAAGACATTGGCAGGTACTGATGATATGGATGTGGATAACATTGGTTCATCTCAATATGAAGTTGTCCATTCAGAGGAAATGATAAATGATGAACTGAATAGGCCTATCATGATTTCCGGAGGTGATGATGCAGATATGTACCTTGCGAATGAAAATGAGCTTGCCTTCATGGATGTAAATGGCAAGGAGTCAATAGATAAGTCCTCTTCTGAAAACCTGAATCCGATTCTGTTGAGCGAGACCAAAGATGTTCATGAAAATGATGTACCCAACTTTTGTCAGCCCCCAAAGTTGGTTTCAGATCCATTCCAGGCTGTTACAGACAATGTGCAGGCTGCCAAGATGGATGTTGCTGCTGAACCGTCTCACTCTGACCTAGATGATCAGCATGTTATCTCTTGTTCTGAAGCCAATATGACAGCATCTACGTCAGTGCCACATCCTCTTACTCCTAAACATAATCATGAAGAGATGATTTGCACATTGAATACTGAGGACCCTGAAATCCCATGCAATGATGATATATTCCCATCTGCTGCAACTGTTCATGCTGTGGTGCAACCAGCCTTAAAAGGAGCTCATGAGTTGGCTTCCTCTACTGGAAAAAGGAATTACGATCAACAAAGGAAAGAAGAAGATCCTGCACGACCTTTTAAGGTTCCCCGGATGGTAGTATACGACACAAGTACAGAAAACAGCCCCAATCATGCACTTGGTCCTTTTGGAGTTAAAGCTCCATTTGGTGATAGTAACTGTGTAGCTTCAATCTCCAAACATGATAAAACTGTCATTGCCGACCAAAGCCAAAGCAGATCAGCACATGCACCAGCTAAGTCTATCACCAATCGAGTGTTCAAAGAAGAGGTTATTATATTTTACTGCAGTCCCTTCATAAATTTCTTGGTTGCCCTTGTAAATATCTATTACTAAAGCTGATTGTTGTGAACAGGGATTAGAAGCTCCATTTACAATTGCAGAACTTGCACCCTTATTCGCAGAGCCAGGTTCTACGACTCTCCCAGAACCAGAAGCCAACCCATCAGCACTAGATCATGAAGAATCTGAGGAAGAATCTGATGATGATGTTGATGATGACGATGCTGACATTCCTTGTTTTTCTGATCTCGAAGCGATGGCAAGCATTAATAGTTTTGTTGATTTGCAAGTTTTTCTGTAATCTTCTACTTAGTTCATTTCTAGGATCTACCTCTCTAACTTATGCTATTTTCAGATACTTGATATGGATTTATGTCCACTGGATCAGGATTCATACATCAGCAGTGAAGGTAACTCCTCTGAGCTCTTTTTTTTTTTTTTTTTTTCAGAAATTATTTAAATGTGTACATTTAAAAGATTAGATGTGTAATAAGTGTTAAAAAGTTTACAATAGCTGCCTTCCATTATAAACCATCTGCCAAATGTGAGAAAAGAGTTCAGCCTTATATGTGACAATCGAAGAATGTCTGGCATTATGGTCGATACAGTTTTTGTGTCTTTTTTTTTCAATTTGTTCTGTGGTATTTGCAGTCTTAGAGTATCAAAATGAGGATTCTAAAAGGAATATCATAAGGTTTGAACAATGCGCACAATCCTCTATGCAAAGAACCCTTGCATCTAAAGGTGCACTCGCTGTATTGTATGGTAACCATATAAAGAAGTACATTAAGAAAACTGAGGTATGTTTTTTGGATTTTAAAGTTTCGATTCAGATTCATGCAACTCTTATGCAGACCTGTTGCAACTTCTTCCTACTATGTAGGTAATAATTGGCAGATCAACAGAAGATAACGAAGTTGATATTGACTTGGGAAAGGAAGGGCTACATAACAAAATATCTCGGCGGCAGGTGGGACTTATTTTTCCCTCCTAAATGATTGTTTCCAGGAATTTTTTGTCCCTTACTTGCTCTTTGATATAATATTTGGCTCAACTTGTAGGATGGGATTAAGGTGTCATATTAATTAGTTCTTGAGTTTTTCAACAACTGATACATTAAATTGTGCGGGGGATGATAAATAAGGGTGGCGATTTCCAAACACCCACTTTATTCGTTCATGCTCCTCCTTCTAATTTTTGTTCTTTGGGTAATTGAATAAACAAAAGGAGAACCAGAGCGCATAAGAAATAAGGAGTGCAAAGGGAGTGTGAAAAACTGTTTATGGATTACAAAGGGATGAGATAAACCTTCTTTATCTTATCGATGTTAGCTTTTAACGGCCAACCCGGAAACATGACTTTGGTCATTGTCTGTATAAATTTGACTTTGCAGCAGGGTAGAAGGAGGAATTGTTAATCGCTTGTTTTTCTGTTATTAAATTAATTTCAAGAAATTTTGGCTATGATTTTTAATGTCTATTGTTAATTATCTCTAGGCTCTTATAAAGATGGAAGGAGACGGTTCTTTCTATTTGAAGAATCTCGGCAAGAGTTCAATTTATTTGAATGGAGAAGAAGTTGCTACCGGGCAACTTGTTAGTCTTAGTTCAAGTAATTTGATTGAGGTAAATAGGTTTCTATTTCTGCTCTACCATTCTTGTTTCGGCTTTTCCCTCAGTCGTGCTTGCTCCTCCTAATTTACTATTCACCCCAACTAATTCATTGTTAATGACAATCTGCAGATTAGGGAAATGTATTTTATTTTTGAGACGAATCACAAATCTGTGAGTCAGTATCTGGGAAGAATCGGCCAAAAAAGCGAGGATAAGTGCACCAAGTTGGAACGGTCGCCCGAGGGAGGTCCATAGGTGGAAAATGATATGAAAGGTGCCCTTCCTGTTCCAATTCTTTTCGAATGGACTGTCCTTGGTCAGTTATACTTGATTATTATTAAATAGGAGCATCCTCACCCTGCCTGATTATAGAATGTATAGGCATTTTTTATTTTACATAGTTAAATTTTTTTAAAGTAGTTAGCTCTTCAGCCCGAACGACGAAAAATTGTAGTACAAAATAAAAATAAATATCAGTTTATAGTCTAACCATTGCTAACAGTAACTAACCTGCTCCTTTAATTATCTTAACTTTTTATCTTTCCCATTTTGGCCATGTTATTATTTCTCTTTTTTTCGACAATTGTCGTCCATCATATTTGAACTAGTGATCTCTCCCAACGAAAAGGAGATCGGGTTATAGTTATTTGTTTTTAGTCTAACAGTCGACATTTACTGTGTGTGATTATACGAACCACACCGATATACGACTGCTTCGACATGAACCCAGTTAGTTGATGTATATCTCAATTCATGGTATGATTTCTAAACAATGTTCCTGAGTGGTGGTTGGAAGTTGGAAGATACCAAACGCGAATCTGCATAACGGAAATGGGTTGGCCTTTGGGAAAAGTTTGCTGTGTTTTCAAGTTTGTTAGCTCATCTAATAAGCACTTATGATAAAAGTGCTTAAACAACGACTCGATTTGACGTTAGTGATGGGTTACTCTAATCAGTAATCGCCCACCACGTCAGAGGCTCTCTGTAACAACTGAACCAAATGGCCACCCGCCCTCCTTTGTTTTTATCTTTGTCTTTTTTTGTGATTGCAATCACGAACTGGCTTTTGCTTTTGTAAAGAAGCCATTTTGTAGTGGCTTATACAGAAATAAAGGAAAAGGATCCTATTCGATTGAGAGCTAGGAGGGCATCAACCAAAGCATATTGGCATATAGAGGGTATTGTCTCATACTATAATTTATCTCAACACAGCTGCTTATTATCTCAAATACACAATTTCGCCTCCTTGTTAACTGTAAATTACAATTTGACATGTACACAATAATGTCTCTTTACAACCACATGAGACTATCTTTAATATATAAAGTATTACATGGAGGAACGATTCATTGCACAGAAGAAGCTAAGTATTTTTCTGTAAATAAAACATTACAGTAATAGTATCAATTGTGGACATGGTGGATGACTATGGAGAAATTTTTCAAACTGCCCGGTATCTAAACGAGTATTTCGCATATCATAATATAAGTAGAGGGACGTGAAAAAATAAATCATCTTCTGTATTTGTACTATGATATATGAATTGTAGAGTAGCGCTTGAATATCTAACAAAAATCTGTCATGAGTATGGGCTGTTGATGTATAAGTTGGTGCTAAAAAACTCAAGAACCCTTGCTTTATCTTTGACTTCAACTTTATGAATCCATGGCTTCTCAAGAAAGCAACTTATATAGAAAGGGTTTACCGTTGTACATCGTTTTGATCTAAACATATAATGCTACGTGAAAAAAAAATTATATATAATATTGTATTATTGAATTGGATAACGTTAAACTCATTCCATCGTCATTCTCATGCATAAATACCAAAGACAGCTCAACAGTCAACACTAGCAAGTAGCAGTAGCTGCTTCAGCCCTACCAACACATGTCACAATATACTTCGACAGTCAACACTCTAATCCAAGCACCAATCTCTCTCGTTCTCTCTACTCTCAACTCTCTCTCTCTCTCTCTCTCTCTCTCTCTCTCTCTGAAAACTGACCCGTGAGGCCACTCCCATATAAACATCTCTGAACTCTGTATGATTCCCAATACGAAAAGCCAGCCGCTTTCCTCACCATTAGTACTTTTCTCCCTTCCCCACATCAAAATTCCCACTTCTGCTTCCAAACCAACGGTCCAGATCAACCTCTCCTTCCTCCCCCTGTTTCTGCAACTCCACCCCTATACTTTTACTCACACTCCCCCACTCCCACTGATCAAATTTCAACAAAAACCACCAAATGGGTGTTCAAATACACAATTTGTCTCTGTCCTCCCTGATTATTTTGATAATTTCAGCTGCAAGTCTGCAACTTTTAGCAGAATCCAAGACTTTCTGGGCCGACATTGAAGCTCTCAAGGAGTTCAAGAACTCACTCAACCCCGACTCAGTGACTCCCGGCTCGTGCGTCAACTCCTGGGACTTCACCCTCGACCCCTGCGACAACCTCTTCAGCGACCGGTTCACCTGTGGCTTCCGCTGCGACCTGCTCGACAACTCCTCGTCCGCCAGCCGGCTCACCGAGCTCACCCTTGACCAGGCCGGTTACTCCGGCTCGCTCTCCTCCCTATCCTGGAGCTTCCCGTATTTACAAACGCTCGACCTCTCCGATAACTTTTTCTCCGGATCGATCCCAGACTCGCTCTCCAACTTAACACGGCTAAGTCGACTCGGTCTCTCCGGCAATTCGTTCTCCGGCTCTATTCCCGGCTCAATTGGATTGCTTTCGAACCTCGAGGAGCTTTTCCTCGACAACAACCGCCTCGACGGCGCAATCCCACAGAGCTTGCACGGCCTGGCGCAGTTGAAGCGGCTTGAGCTTCAGGGGAACCTGCTCGGCGGCGAGTTTCCCGAATTGGGTTCTCTCCAGAACCTCTACTACTTGGACGTCAGCAACAACGCCATATCCGGTGGCGTCCCAATAAATTTTCCGCCATCTCTGCTCCAAATCTCCATGCGAAACAACAGCTTAGAAGGAAGCATCCCGGAAAACATCAAACAGTTGGGCTTTTTGCAAGTGCTCGACCTGAGTCACAACCAACTCGGCGGCGCCGTCCCTGCCCACCTCTTCAACCACCTGTCGCTACAGCAGCTCACTCTTTCCTTCAACCAATTCACGTCCGTACAATCCCCAGTTTCTCTTTCTCCGAGCACCCATAGCGAGCTCATTGCCCTAGACCTAAGCAACAACGACCTCAGGGGGATGCTGCCGCCGTTTATGGCGGCGATGCCGAAGCTCTCGGCTTTGACGCTGGAGAACAATAAGTTTACAGGTATGATTCCGACCCAGTACGCATTCAAAGTGGCGGTGCCCGGGTCCGGAGTCTCGGCGTTCGAGAGGCTCCTGCTGAGTGGGAACTACTTGTTCGGACCCATACCGGGTCCGCTGCTGCGGTTAAAACCCGGTTCGGCGAATGTGGGTTTGGGGGATAACTGCCTGTACAGGTGTCCGAGAGTTTTTTCTTTTGTCAAGGTGGCGATCAGAAATCGTTTCATGAGTGTAGAAGCTTAGGCCCGATGATCCCATGAATAAGAACTTAAATTAACGTTATTATTATTGTAAGATTATGACATAATATTGGATTAATTTCATTTTCCACTCTTCTAATTTAGTCTCAGTAATAGTTTAGTCTCTATTATTTTAGAAAGTTGACACTTTAAGCCATCTCCAACCGAAAGTTGGTCAGAGGGTTCGCTTTGGGTGCGTTTGGTACGTGGGACGGGACGGGACGGAACGGGACGAGGCGTTCCGTCCCGCGTTTGGTGCGCCAAAAATGGGTGGAACGGGCTGTTCCACGGGACAGATTTTGGGTGTTTTTGCGTCCCACCTCCCCCCTGGAACGGGTTTGTTCCACGTCTGTGGAACACAATGTTTTACCATTTTAAGACAAATATACCCCATGTCTTTTTCAAAAATTACACCTTCGTTCCGTCCCGTCCCGTCCCGTCCCGTTCCGTCCCGTCTGCGTACCAAACGCACCCTTTAGCCCTATAACCCTTCAAGAAATTAATATTTTAGGGTGCGTTTGGTACGTGGGATGGGATGGAACAAGGTGGGACGGACCCGTTCCGTCCCACGTTTGGTGCGCTAAACTTATGTGGAACGCGTGTCCCACGGAACAAAAATGGGTTAGATTTTGGTTCCCCCTCCCCCCCCCGGGAACGGGTTTTTCCATCCCGTGGGACACAAAATTATATTTTTTTGGACAACAATACCCCGCTTATTTTTCAATAATTACATTGTCTACCTCCCTTTCTTCTACCCTTATCTCTCCCGTAGCCTTCCTTTTCCTCCACCACAAACCCAGTAACCCAACTGCTAACCCAATCTCAGCAAACCCATCCGACGACGACGACGTCACCATAGCAAACCCTCTTCTTCTCCGGCGTCGTCTGGCGTCATGAACATGACCCACATCTCGTCATCTCCCTCCGTGTAAGCGAGGTGGATTTGATCCGGAACACGACTCGATTCGAACTAAGCTCGTCATATGAGGTGGCGAGCAGGTGGGCGGTGCTGGGGAGGGGGTTGTGGTCCTGGTCTAGGTGGTTGGGGTCGACCTTGGACTCGTTCCAGCGAAAAATCCAGAAGGAGTAGTTGAATCGAAGATTGACCAGAGGGAGGGAAATGGAGCCCGACCCAGATTTCCATGTGGGGGCGGAGGAGAAAAACTGCGAGTAGATGCCGAGCCAGTCGAGTCGGGAGGGCGAGTCGATGCCGGACCATTGGATTAGGACGGAGTCGGCCGATTTGGAAAGGGAGGTTGGGGAGAGAGAGAGTGAAACAATTTGGTGGGTTGGAGGGAAGAAGGTGTACAAACAAGGATAAGTTAGTCATTTAACACAAAATCCGAACCGTTCCGTCCTATGCATACCAAACATAACACGAACCTTCATTTCGTTCCGTTTCGTCCGTCTCGTCCCGTCTGCGTACCAAACGGTACCTTAATGAACAGTACATGGTCATATTTGCTTCCATCTTCAACTAAGGGCCAAAAGGTTATAGGGTCAAATATAATTTATTATTTAAAAACTACAACTTAAATTCAAATCCAAAATCTAAGTGACGTCAGCTAGCCTTTGGATATGAATTTTTTTTTGCTATAAATAGGGTGGATATTGGGCTATAATTCACTCAACTTTGAATTCAAGTTTGCAATGAATTCCAACTTTGGATCCTCTTCGGATCCAACTGGGGGTCCTCATCCAATTCCAAAAAATGAGCGCAAATAAGACAAGAATATGAAGAGTCTGATAAAGAAGTTCATGTAAGGCGCAACAAACAAAACAGAGCAGCAGCGTGTCAGCCAACTGAGGAACAACCTCAATGGGGTGGCTATGTTGCTGGTCGCTCTTACAAACCACAAAACAGAGTGATAACGCATGCCAATCTGATGAACAACTACTTAAACCCCAACTCGGTGTATACGTAAGAGGATTTCAAACGTCGTTTCGGGATGAGGCGTCATATCTTCAAGCGTTTGCTTCGTGATGTCCAGCAG